GCAAACCGTCTGAGTTAAAACTTGTAAACCGTTAAAAGAATTACTGCTCAATTAAAAAGAGTCAACCCTCTGACACCGCGTCTAACAGTTGCAACCTGAAAAGATTGCACGTTAACAATATTATATTCACTATTACTATAATATTTATGACTTTTTCAATGGTTAAAATAACTTGTTAAACGATTGAAAGTTTTAAAGCAAATATTACAAATTTTTAAATTTATATATGTATAGGTGATACAAGATAGCTTGAATTATTTTTTAAATTAACTAAAAATAGACAATAATAAACTATTATGTTATATTTTAATTAGGTAAATATTATTTTATTTGATAAACATTTTTTTTGACTAAAATAAACTTTTTTTTATTTTTATATATATATATATTAATTAATAATAATAAAAATTTATTAATATATTTTTTTTTCATTTTATTTTTTTAAAAATAATAGTTATGAAAACAAAACATAAAGCAAGTAAAATAAGTAAAATTATAAATCATATTTGTATAAGATCATTTTCTAAATTAAATAAGCAAGAACAGCAAAATATCAATTCTGTAAATATATTTACAAAACATTATTTTTTTTTTTATGCAAAAAATAATATTTATAATTTTTAGATTGTTGAATGCTTTGAAAAAAATTCTACAAATGACAATATAAAAAAAGGAAAAAAAAATACCAAAAATTTATCATAAACCTGAAACTTCTAAGATAGGACTTTCTACTTCTAAGCTTACAGATGAACTTATATTTCTTTTTGAAAATGAATATGATAGTAAACCAAACTTATCTTCTTTTTTAGGCTTATCTAATGAATATAATCTTTTACTAAAAATTGCATCATTAATTACTGAATATCAAAACACTAATGTAATTGAAGTTGAAAGCTTCATTTTCAGTGAAAAATCTAGTAATGATAAGGAAAATATTAATCCAGTTACAGATCTTTTCTATTCACAAGTTGATAATGGTTTAAATTTTGATATTAAGTTATTATTAGATACAAACTTAACTATCGAAAGTTAATTGAAAAGACTTTTAGACTTGCATGAAAAAACTTATAATCAAATAATAAGTATATGTATATTAAAAAAGCAAGATAAATTAAATGGTTAAATCTCATCTAAAATCAATAATTATCTGAAAAATTGGAAAAATTCACAGAAGGAAACAAGGAACTCAGATGGTAGGAAGTATATATATTATATTTATTGTGATTTTATGTAATAATTATAACACTATTTCTACTAATTTTTAAAAAAATTTTTAAATTTATTTTATTTTTAGTGTTTTATGAAGGACAGAGTTAAAGAAATTATTAACGATTATTTATATCTAAAGGAAGAAACACTTGCAACTCATATAAGAGAGCATTTAAAAACAATAGCATCAAATAAGATAAAAAAAGATATGAACAAGATACTAAATGAAATATACTATGGTAAAAAATAGAAGAAAAGGTGCTATTTATAATATAATTATTTGACAAGAAAATTTATTCATTATAACTGTGGTATTAATGACCATTAATGTATCCCTATATGTTACTTAATGGCACACAAATTGTATTGATAAACATTGTGATTTGTTTGATTTTTTTTGATTATGATAGATTATTTCTTTCTATCTTATTTTCGTTTTTATATTTTTATAATTTTAATTTCTCAACAGTTCTTAAATTTTCATTTCTTTTTGGCTTTTTAATATATTTTTACACTAGTAAAATTGAGTATGATGCTAAAATGGTAATTATATCAAAAAGTATTCTTTAGTTTAGTGATTTGATTTAATTTCAACTTATATATTTTTCGATAAGTTTATTTTTTTTTTTTTTCATCTCTGGTTTGGTAGTTCAATCTAATTTTAGCTTATTTAATTTTATTTTTTTTATTTGTTAAATTTTAAAAATCTAATCCAATATTTTTTATTTTCATCTTCGGTTTAGTGATTTGATCTAATTTCGGCTTATTTAATTTTATTTTTTATCTTCATCTCTGGTTTAGTAGTTTGATATAATTTTGACTTATTTATTTTTTAGTAAGTTTTATTTTTTTTTTATTTGTTAAATTTTAAAATTCTAATCCAATATTTTCTTTTTTAACTTCGTCTTGTTTGATTTAATTTCAGCTTATTTAATTTTATTTTTTTTTTATTTATTAAATTTTAAAATTTTAATCCAATATTTTCTTTTTTATCTTTATCTCTGATTTGGTAGTTTGATTTAATTTCGGCTTATATATTTTTCAGTAAGTTTTATTTTTTTTTTTTATATTTTTGAAATTCTTGAATTCTATCTAATCCAATATTTTCTTTTTCATTTTCATCTCCGGTTTGGTGATTTAATTTAATTTTGACTTATATATTTTTTGGTAAGTTTTTTTTTTTTTATTTTTAAAATTTTTGAATTATAATTAATTCAATATTTTTTATTTTCATCTTTGTTTCCAGTTTGGTAGTTTGATCTAATTTTAGGTTATTTATTTTTTGGTAAGTTTTTTTTATTTTGTTTAATATATTTCTTATTTTCATCCCTGGTATCTCCAGTTCTATTAACTTTTCATTAAGTTTTTTTTATATAATATAGTTAGAATTATTATTTGGTTGAATTAAAAAATATATGAAAGTTGAAACTTTTGAAAACTTAAATTATTAGTTCATTTTTAATTTACAATTTTCAAATGTTTTTTATTTTTAGTGCTTTATTGATTTTATTTTTTATTTTTTATTTGATTAGTTTTTTTCTGAATAATTTTCTTTTAAAATCACATGATGAGACGCAGTGAATAATATTTGCCACATAATGTAATAAATAAATTAACTCTTCACTTTATATTTATAAATTAATTTTTTTAGGTTAGATCTTATTACTGCATATATTGCAGAATTCTATTTAAAGCTATTTATCATCATATTTGATCATATTTAAAAGGCCAATTAACAAAAGTTGATACTTCTACTAATCAAGCGGATCTTATGGAATAGAAGTCAAGTAAAGCTGTTCATTGGTGATTTAAGAATCTTAAAAGTCCCATTGACGAAGAGGATAATATAAGCCTTTTTTCTTTAATAGTTACAAAAGTATTTGGAAAGAATATAACACCAAATAATATTTTTGTAATTAAAGCATGTGTTCAAAATATGTTAGATCCTTAGCATCCTAAAATCGAAATGGACGAAGATTATATCCTTTCTAAGTTGAATCAATATATGGTAAGTAATTTTATTAATGATAATTATAAAACTCTTATTTAATAAAACTTATATTTTATAGAATACAGAATCAAGTGGCAAAAGTACTAGCAATTCAATATCAAAAGTATAGTAATAGATTTATTACAAAATGTATTTTTTAGTTAGATAGCAAATAATGTAAAATGTATATTTAAAAATAATATATAATTTATGTTATTTTAATAAAACACATGTTTGTTAAATATTTATTTAAATAAAATACACAGTTATATATATGTTTTACTTGAGTTTTAAATAAATAATCTATAATAAATCTATTTAAATATATTTTACATATAAGATATATGTTCACGCAGAACCTATGTTGGATCTGTAGAATTATATAAAACTATACACATAGATTTTACAGAAATTTTTTATATAGAACTGCATAAAAATAACTGCTGATGATACTATAACCAATGTTTTATTCCTAGAAGATTAGAAATTAATGCCTATAGCATATTCACAACCACGTGTCCCATATTTTTTTGTTTTAACATAGTATCGAAACATATAACCCAAGACTTATTTTATTTTATAACTTTGTAAAGATATCTTTAAAAACAAATTTATTCGTAAAATATATATCAATTTTTTTTTTTTCTTTTATTTTTCAATCAACTTTTGCTGATCTTCTTTAATAATAAAGATTTTAAACCACCTTTATTTTTGTGATCTTTGAGAGACTACATTTCGGCATGTTCAAAATGTATACATTATCATCAATCCGCTTTTTGGATCAAATTTGAAGAGGTAAAAATGGATTTGTTGTGGTTGTGTAAATATATGTATATGGTTCTTCTCGGTTCATAGGATTAATTTCCACATGTGTAATCATTCTTTCCATCAAGAATTTGTAAACCCCTAAATAAGTTCCAACTCTAATAGCAAATGACTGGAAGACTCCGGAACTGCAACATAAGTTACATATTTACTAAAAAAAATAAAATAAAATAAAATAAAAATATAATAATCATAAGTTTGATGTAACAAAAAAAAAAAAAAAAAAAAATGATAAATATAAGAATTAATAACCCGTACTTACCTTTCTTTTTTTTTTATCAATAGCTTCTTGCGAATAAAATACCAACTCTATATCTAAAAAAATAAATTTAATTTAAGTTCGTGTTTTAATGTGATTTTTTTTTTTTTTAATATAAACCTTACCGTTAATAAGAATTTCGAATGTAAAATCTCATGATATTATTTTAGAAGAAAATATATTTCTTTGATAGAAAAAAAACGCTTAAGGAAGCGGAGTTTTACTGAATTTTGATTGGAGGGTAGTTCATGAATTAGGGATGGGCGTTAATTAACCTGGTTAATTAACCAAAAGATAATTATTAATAATATTACCTGGAACCCAATACCAGAGATGCATTGGAATTGGATTTTCATTGTTAATTAATCGTTTAAATTATCAACGATATCGCGAGGATTGTAATTTGGAATGAATGAACTCTAACCTAATATTATAAGAAAAATCAAATTAATTATACGTCTTGCAAAATTCTTAATATGCAGGTTGTTAAATAAACTCACCGGTTCCGATACCCTCGGATCCATTAACAAAGATCATTGGCAGAATTGGAAATACCATTCTGGTTCTACCAGCTGACCGTCATAATTACAATATGTTGGTAATAAGTCATGAGGATGAAATATTTTTCGAGTCAATGCTGTCATGGCAACGCTAATATAATGAGCAATAGCTGCATCTTTTCCTCCTTGAGCCCTTGTACCAAATTGACCTTCGCCATGAAGGATATTGATGTTATTTGAACCGACAAAATCGTGAGCCATTGCGATGTTGGAACTTGAAGGCTTGCATCACCATGATGATATGCCTCTTGTTCCCGGCTAACGAAGAAAGTTTAATTTCGTTCTTGTACTTTTCTTAAAGCACGTGTAAAAAACTTTTCTCTGGCCAGGTTTTAATCCGTCGAGAACATTTGGAATCAAACATTCATTTTCGGGCTTGACTGAACAAAATCAACTCTTTATTTATAAAATTCTTTATCGTGATTTCTTCCTCATCAGGATTCATGTAGGTACCGGACTGGAAGAATATAAATTTTTGGAATGTGAAATTTCGTTAAAAAGGTTACATTCTGATTGGAATCAAGGAAACAAAATCTACACAAACTTCATAATTACTTAACCATTTCTTGCGATCATCAGCTATCTGTTTATTAAAGGCCAAATCTCATTTTTTTGAAGAGCTCTAAAAAGTTTTTTATGACGCTTTAAACTTGTGAAATATTTTTTGGCTTCCTGGGTGTTAATAGAAGTACTAAGACCCTAAAATATTACAACAGTATTAGTTAGTAAAGTCGATTGTTGTAAAATTATCTTCAAAGAAATTACCTTAAGAAATTACCTTGTAATATTTGACCTCCAATTTTAGCATTAGGGGTCATTTCCTTCCGATTTTCATATTCAGGCATGAAAAAAAATGACACCTCTTTATCACCCTTTGATATACTAATAAATAAGATACATTATTATTGGATCTCACGATTATTTTATTTATAGCGTGATTTAATGTTTTCCGATCGGGGTGTATTCCCGTGATCTTGATCCGTCATGATCATCAGATGCCCATACCGTAATTCGCTTGTTGACGTAATTCGCTCGTTGATGTATATTCTTCTCAGTCCAAGGAGTTGCTTTATATGTTGAATCTCCGAGTTATTCATGATCTGGGATGGGTCACTTCACGAACATTTAAAATGTTCCCAGGAGTGGGAAAATTCCATACTTATCACGTCCAACTTCGGAAAGCCCGGCAA